TTATTATTGCAAGAATCTTACCTCGAAGTAGACAAGTAGACAACCGAAAGCAGGTATCAGGCAGCGATGAGCCATTCGAGGCCAACGGCTTTGTTGCCCCTGGACTCGATTCTGTGGCCTGTTCCGTGACAATATCCCTTTCAACGACACGATCTTCAACTTTACCACCCTGATTCACGCCATCGTAGGCGCAGAGACCGCTCGAGTGCCTGAGCTTCCTTTTCAACTGTACCAACAAACTAATTTCACACAAGACAGACCTTTGCTGTTTAAGCAGAATGAAGCCACCTCGGAAACGGCGGACTCTACCAACTTACCGTTCTCACAAATCGAATAAGCTTGGACCCATCGTATTGTGCAGATAAGAAGAATAGCTGAGTTTCAATGCTAATCTTAAGATAACATTATTATAGAGACTTATTTCATATGATAGTGGATGGTGAAGTGATTCTTTGGTTGCTCTCATCGGAAGTCAACGGCCGATTTGCGCTGTCCTACAGTCGTTTGACTTTTTAAAACGACGTTTTAATTGACGCAATCGACGCTATATCATCCGTCATTTCGCGTAAGAACGGGCTGAGTCTTCATCCATAAAATATAGGACATCTTCACAGTCGGAACAGATTCTTGCAAATGCCCCTGGTTAACACATAGTCAAGAAGACTGCCCGGCCCTATCTTACATCCTGTAGCGAAAAAAGAATATATATATATATATAGATAGATATATAGATAGATGGATGGATGGATATATATAGAAAACTAATCAAATAATTCTAAATCTATCTATCTATATATGTATATTTTATTTTTTAAATAGTTGGTATATCCATATAAGATGTAAGATAAGGCCGGACAGTTTTCTTAACTTTGTATTAACTTAAGTTTTTTGCAATAATCAGTTTCAGCTCTGAATATATCCTTTATTTGATGGATGAAGGCTCGGCCCAGTTTCCCCCCAAACGAGGGAGGATGTCTCGTGGACTACAATAACCTGAAAGTAGTAGCAAAGCCAATGTTAATCGGCCATCGTCTTCTGGTGACATCAACTAACGAATGTCTACATCATCCACTTTGATACGAAATGATGGTCTCCATCAACTATAGCATTGAATTGTTGCTTAATCACGAAGCATCAGCTCGCTTACGTTTATAATTGAAATCAATTTGGTTTCGCATCTATCGGGAGCTTGATCGCTGTCCCATTGCGCCAGTTTCTATCGGGCTTATAGCGAATCGCAAATGGAGACTTTTGCATGAAGTTTCACTTCGTAATGCATTTCATAACATCTTTCGCCTCCAGATCGGACCTCAATTTCGAAATTGCCTTATCGTCTCAGTGGCAACTCAAACGGGATTAGAATCGTCGACTTGCGATCTGACAAACAGACAGGCTAGCCGCCAAGCCAAATGACACTCCCGTTCAATTCATCCCTTTTTTGGTAGACTTTGGTGCCTCGTGTCCATGGTTCGAGTCCCGCTTTGGTGTGGACGAGACGCTGAGACGAGGCCGAAACTGCAATTCTGGCTGAACGAGAATAGTCAGTTGAGAGATACAGCAGAGGAAAATTTGCTTGAACAAAGCCATGCATCCTTGCCCCCTCATCTTGACAGGCTTGTTTGAGCCGTTTTCGAGAGGGCCAATGCGCATCAAATGCCTCTTCAGATTCCTAAACTCGACGGAGGGCCGTCATACCCTCTATTATGCTTAAAGAAAGCAGTAGGACTGCTAAAGTGTGCCTTTAAAGGTAAAAAATTGTCTAAACTAATACTTACCGTATTTGCTGCCGAGTGCTGGAAAATGTCTGTCTCGGAAAAACCATGCCTGGACTCGAGTTTATCGGAAGCGGCAATGTATTCTTCAGATACATATCGTTCAACCACCATTCTGTCACCTGCGAGGGAGGGAGAATGTTGTGTCGGGTAGGAATAGCATCATAACATTAGCAGAATTAATCAATCTGAGTGCTAAATTAATGCATTTATTCGCCGTCCACAAATTCACTCCGAGGCGGATACTAGCCGGTCACGAAACGTGAGGAACAGTGCAATAATGTAAAATTTTAGCTCCGACTTAGAGCCTCGAGCCAAACATCGGTTCAGGAGGGAGTGGGCTGTACTGACTAAATTAACTTCATTCTCAATACATCGTTGACGGCTCAGCCTTCAGGCTCAAACGATTTAGAGTGAAATTTTGCTCAAATACTTGAAAATGCCTCGGTTTTTGCCTAGTTTGGTTAAAGCTATCTAAGCGATAATCTTTGGTCTTTTGATATTTTCATTATTTTTCAAGTCCTACAGTAAGTATTAAGGCCTTCTCGTTTCTTAGTGAGGAAAACACGCCCTCGTGGAGTACAAAGCAGTTGCAACGAGTTTTAGTATAAAATATAATTTTACAAGACACCACTTCATGCCACGGGAGTTTTGGTTTCGATGAAGATCTTTGAGGAAGGACGCCAAGAAAAGACTGGCGTGGAGTTTTGACATTTCGATTGATTGTAAAAGGTACTTGGAGCATGCTTTGGCGAAACTGATCCAGCCTTGCGGAGTTATCGTTTCTCATGCCGTACACTCTTTGGGAAGTTTCACA